ATGCCCATGCTATTCTTTAAGTAATTGCCATACCAGCATTCATATAATGTGACACATCAGTAAAACCACCTAAGGGTTTAGTTTGGGATGCTCAATACTTGATTTTGTAGCTCACGGCAGAGGCGGATCCAGGCTATTTTTGTGGTGTCCCATGACACCGATGGCTTCTGGAATTCTCCTTTAAAATATATCAACCATAATTTAAAATTTCTTCTAGTGATGTGGGGTTCTCCTAGTGTTTTAGCATTCAACATTTAGTATAAACTTTTCCTACCAAATGTCTCCTGGTGAGGATTCCCAAGTGTTATGACTAGTGGTAGTGTTTTACTACTACTTTAAAACACTAGGTGAACTCCACCATTTTGGTAGTATGCTTATTGGTGCTTAAATGGTTAGATGATATCATGGCACAATAGAGATGTTATGACCCCAATGATTTTTTCTGCTAGATCTACCACCTATTAACATTGTTAAGTAGACGAACCTCGGTACTCTAGGAATTATGTATGGTTATTCCAAAGTTTAGATGGATTAACCTAAACTTCAAAGGAATCTTGTACGCTTCCAATTGCATTTTCAATATGGTTTAGAAAATTCCTCTGCTACACGTTCCTTTGCTAAATCATGGCCTTGTTCGCTTGAACTTATCAGCCACAGTATAATATTTTTCTCTCACAATAAATCGGTTTCAGTCGGCTTATCAGCCGCAAAAACCATCAGGATACTTGTGTCCAAACGCCCATCCTTAGTATAACCCATGGTGATGAATATGTAATAAGACAACTTCAGAATTTGACTAGAGACATTAATGTGGATTAGCGATAATTGATGGATTAGAAAACATGTTATTGTGATTTTCTAAGTTTTATCAATAATTTGTAATATATTTTAGTTTGGTTTTTAATTATTTTATAGATTGTAGTACAAAGTGTTTGAGATAAACATTGTTTTAAATGTTTTTCTTTTATCTAGTACTTTTTGAATATATATTGATTGATACTTTGTGTTAAGGGGTATCCAAATTTTAGTTTCTTTCCGGGCCAAAAAAATCCTTGGGTCGACGCTGAGGATGCCCATGCTATTCTTTAAGTAATTGCCACACTAACATTCATATAATGTGACACATCAGTAAAACCACCTAAGGGTTTAGTTTGGGATGCTCAATACTTGATTTTGTAGCTCATGACAGGGGCGGATCCAGGCTATTTTTGTGGTGTCCCGTGACACCGATGGCTTCTGGAATTCTCCTTTAAAATATATCAACCATAATTTAAAATTTCTTCTAGTGATGTGGGGTTCTCCTAGTATTTTAGCATTCAACATTTAGTATAAACTTTCTCTACTAAATGTCTCCTGGTGAGGATTCCCAAGTGCTATAACTAGTGGTAGTGTTTTACTACTACTTTAAAACATTAGATGAACTCCACCATTTTGGTAGTATGCTTATTGGTGCTTAAATGGTTAGATGATATCATGTCACAAAAGAGGTGTTATGACCCCCAATGATTTTTTCTGCTAGATCTACCACCTATTAACATTGTTAAGTAGATGAACCTCAGTACTCTAGGAATTATGTATGGTTATTCCAAATTTTAGATGGATTAACCTAAACTTCAAAGGAATCTTGTACGCTTCTAATTGCATTTTCAATATGGTTTAGAAAATTCCTCTGCTACATGTTCCTTTGCTGAATCATGGCCCTATTCGCTTGAACTTATCAGCCACGGTATAATATTTTTCTCTCATAATAAATCGATTTCAGCCGGCTTATCAGCCGCAGAAATCATCAGGATACTTGTGTCCAAACGCCCATCCTTATTTTCCTAACTACATACAGGATGCTTGTGTACACGCACAATTATTTCTATAGGTGATAAATTTTGAGATTGACAAAGACAGTACAAAAGCGTAATTAGCTTTGTTGTCTTACAATTACATGGTATATAATTACATGGTGTGAACCCGCACGACACGAGCATCACGCCCACGCGATCCGGCTGAGGTCCACACGCCCAAGGCACCACCATCTGGAAGCCGACGAGCGGGCACACACACGCGCCGCCCGCACCCAAGCGCCCGCGGCACCGTATTCTATTCGCCAAAAGCCAAGGGATGGGATGCTGCGTGTTGTTTAGACGAGCCAAGAGGCAAAAGGGTCGCTTGACCTTACCAGCCGGCATGTACGGTATTTTTCCCTCACGGTAAAACAGCATCAATCGGCAACCGGCTTTAATACTAAGGCTCCAAGCTGAGCTGAAGGCCCGAGGCAGGCTCCCAAGCACGCCACGCGATCCGCCGCTCCCCCCACACGGCAAGCAACGCTCGAGGCTCGTGCTCGCCCCGCGCGACCCGCGAAAGATCTGTGCTGCTTCGCTCGCTTGCTTGGGGTGGGTGCCGATGAGCTGCGCGGGGCAGGCCGGCGGGTGGCTGCTCGACTACGGGCTGGTGGAGGAGGAGATCCAGGGCTCGGAGTTCATCTACATGGTCGACGACCCGGCCGTCTCCAGGTGAGGGAGCCAGACTCTTCTCCTCCTTGCTGGCTGGGTCCTCTTTGATGCTTGGTTGGTGGGTTGCTGTTGGCTAGCTGTTGATGATGATGCCTGATTGATTGATTGGTTGGTTGGTTCGGTTTGCACTTGCAGCGTGATACTGGGGTTTGATGCTCCAAGGAAGGAGGACGGCGTCCAGGACAACTCCGGCGCCAAGAAGAGGCAATTTTTCCCTTCTTCCTTCCCTTTCAGCTGATCCTCACCCTAAATTTAAGCTTGGTGGATTTTTTGCATGTCTAGGAGCTTGCAGAGACATAATCATTTTTTTATGAAACCAGAGACATAATCATGAATGGTTTGGGATATTTCTTATTTCTTGTTTGTCGATAGTATTAGTTTCTGCTTGAGTAATTGATTAGCAGTGCTCCGATTTGGTTGACAAGAAAGGTAGAACTAGTGGTATTCAGGAATTGGCAATCTATCCATTAAGCTCATCGTTGCAGAAGAAAACTCACAGATATCAGGTTGTAGTGAAAAGATGCAGTGTTTATAGGCACGTCTGGCAAATTTGCTTTCTCATAATTAGACTCCTTTTGAGAGCTACGACTTGTGCAAATTCATGGTCCATGGTCCCATTTCACTGTACTATCAAAGTCAGAACTAGCACAATATTTTCAGAAAGTGAAGTGTCCAAATCACAGATGCTGGGAGCCATCACATACTTCACGTCCAATTCTGTTGCCCCTGAAGTCCGTGACCGTGAGCATAATTTGATGTGGTTTCCTATTTCCCTTTCTTCTTAGCAGATCCCGGCCAGAGTCCAGCGCGCCACCTGGCACCAAGGCTTGCCGTGAGAAGCTCCGGCGAGACAGGCTCAACGAAAGGTATGTTTCAGAGTTCAGACTCTCAGTGACCAATACCAATCTCCCTCTGCTTCAGACTAGACATGCTCAGCACTTGTAACACCGAGTATGATCATCCCCTATGATGTACTACTCCAGGTTCAACGAGCTCTGCGCCATCTTGGAGCCCAGCAAGCCACCAAAGGCCGACAAAGTTGCTATTCTAAGCGACGCTGCCCGTCTTCTGAACCAGCTGCGTACCGAGGCCCAGAAGCTTAAGCAATCAAATGAATCACTCCAGGACTCCATCAAGAGTCTCAAGGTATGTCAATCAATCAACTGACAAAACGCCTGGATAACCATTCGTCCAAAGTGTATGGAAGTCTATAGATTTACCGGTGTCCAATGTGTGGCTGCAGGCTGAGAAGTCTGAGCTGCGAGATGAGAAGACGAGGCTGAAGGCTGAGAGGGAGAGGCTGGAGCAGATGCTCAAGGGCGTCAGCCACGCCGCAGTGGCGGCTCCAGGGCCCTTCGTCCCGCACCCTGCTGCAGCCGCTCCTCCATCTTTCCACCCGGCGGCGGCGTTTGCTCAGGCTGGAAAGTTCGTCCCGTACCCCAGCTACCCGCCGCCGGCTGCCTTCTGGCAGTGGATACCGCTGACGTCCCTCGACACGACCAAGGACCCCGCACACTGGCCGCCGGTCGCGTAGTCGATCTCGCCATGGCATCATTGATCGGTGATGCGTTGCCGTGTGTACTGAGCTTTGCTCCTCCGTGTAGAATTTGACCAAAGCATGCCTGAAGAAAAACTTCAGATGCTGATTGTGTAGCAGTGTTTATGCTTGTGGACGTGGCGTGCTAAAATTCAGGCGATCAAGGCCGATTGGATAAGTCTATGTAACAGCCATAATGCTAAAGCAACGAAGGTGACATATAACTGAATCAGACTAGTGTAGTAGTGTTTCCCGAGAACAATAGACATAGATCATTGCCTAGAACAATGCAAATTTGGGTAACATTGCGGCCTATAGTATGAATATGTGATAGATATATTAGTAACTACTACTTCGGCACCAGTAAAGCTGCGGGGCTTCTGCTGTCAATACAGTGATCTGAAGATAGGGAAAAAAAGCCACAGCTAGAGCATCGAACACACCCGGTACCAAGATACCGTGTAATCAAGACAAGGTTGGGATAGCTCATAAATCTTGAGATCAAGTAGAACCATAAGAAACAAGTCGGCACAAAAATTGTGGCATGGGTTCAATCGCACCAAATAAAATAAATATAACAATATAACCGGTTTCTCTTGTTTAACTAGACACACCATCGGTACATCAGTGCTCTATTACCCCAGCACTGCTTTATTGGGGAGGTGGGGTGCCTCCAAGCTCATACAGAATGAACCACCAGAATGATGGTCTACACAGTGACTGAACATTTAAGTCCATGGATTCATAGTCCTCAACCGAAAAGATTCACCATTCTCTGCTCCTATCTGATGAAACTATCAAACATCACTGGATTGACACGAATCCTGATTAAGCGCAAAAACGGCCTGCATAGTTGCTTAGGTTTAGTACGCTTTTGCTTACCACTGTCATTTAAAAGTACTTTATAAGATCAAACGACTTGCAACAGCTTTATGGAAAAATAATCATTACCTGCCTCATTGCAAAGGAAGGTTCTTATGGGTGTATGCAATATCCTTGTCACCGTTCACCACTTGCCCACTCCCTCGCATGATCCTATAGGTTAAAGTGAACATCCATAAATATACAATATTGTAGTAACCAGTCTTAAATTAGCACAGAGAATTAGACAAATCTCTACCAGACTGTACAAGTACAACTTAGAAAATCCACTATTCAAGAGCATATAAATTTTCACTTCTTAAATTCTTCAAGAACTGCTTTATTGGGAAGGTGGGGGTCTGCAACCTTCGAACATATATCATATAAATTGACATAGCTTTGGTCGATCAGTGTTGTATTACTTCCAGCACTGCTTTATTGGGGAGGTAGGGTCCCCCAAGCTCATACAGAATGACCCACGAGCTATCAATATTTTATATATTAAGGATTCAAATGCGGAAATATAAGCAACCCGGATATCATATAAACTGCAAAACTAGGTCTGTTTTGCAATATAGGGAGCTTTATGTTAAATACCCTGCACATCTTAGCAGAAAGACTCTGTTGCGAACTGCAGGCCGCAGGGTATTATTTACATCTTAGCAGAAAGACCTCTGTTGTGAAGTGCAGGGTATTATTTATCAGTGAGATATCCTTTCACCAGTCAATAAACTTATTTACATCTTAGCAGAAAGACCTCTGTTGCGAAGTGCAGGGTATTATTTATCAGTGAGAACAGAGTCTAATATCCTTTCACCAGTCAATAAACTAGATACATGCCTGCAATGTCAAGAACTAGCAACTGCACATCTCAGTTTTACACTTCCGATAAGAAGTATGGCTGTGCAGTTACTAGGAAATAGGAAATAGGGTTACGGGAACAGAAGAATAACTGAAGGGTATCGATTGTATGGAAATCCACTTACCAGCGTGTTGTTAACAGACCTTCAACACCCACGGGCCCACGAGCATGTATGCGCCCTGTGCTTATGCCAACCTATTCAAGATATTCCAAAGGTAGAAATATTAAGATAAAAAAGGTAAATAATCATTAGAAAAGATAAAGAAACTTTATGCCAATGTAAGATATTCCCTCTTATTCCAAAATTTTCACTAAAAATGCCATGAAAGATAGGACGTACCTCAGCACCCAATCCAAAACGAGCCCCATCAGAGAATCGTGTGCTCGCATTATAAAATACAGCAGCACTGTTGCAATTGTACAAGTAAACTAAAATCAGTGAGATATCTAATCATCATAGAATTCAGAACAAAACAACATTGGACACAGTGATAGCAAGAATAAAGCACATTTAACTGATTGCACACACAGTAAAAATGAATAAAAAGAAGGGGCACTGATGTTTAAACGTACCTATCAACTTGGCGCAGAAAAGTTTCTGCTACTTTATCATCTGTAGTAACAATGCAATCTGTATGTCCACTGAAATAAAATGAAGCAGTGAATCTCAGTTTTACTAGATTTTCAATAATGAGAGGGAGGGAGGGAGAGAATGTAAGTACCTTCCATAGCGATGTATATGGTCAATTGCTGACTGTACATCATCAACGAACTCAATTGTGCAGGCCATAGAGCTATATTCATGATGGAATGAATCTGCTTTTGGAATGCACAATAGTTCATGTGCAACAGGCCCTCCATAAAGAGTAACTCCTACAATACATTATCAGCTTCTTTTTTAAGAACAAGGAAGCAATCAGAAATATAGAACTTTGATGAAAGTGCTCAAAGAAGCAATCCACAAGTTCATAGAAGAATAGAACTTTGATGAAAATGGACAAATGGAACTGCCTTGCATAACCAGATTTATCCAAAATAATAAGAATTTGCCAACATACTAGAGATGTAGGCATCTGCTAACACAATTCTAAGCATCTGCTAACAAAATTCAAACAAGAGTAACGTATTACTCACATGTGTTTTATTCTTCCCCGCAAATATACTTCTTTTCATGTACTAACAACTTATTTTGTGCGATATTAACAAAGGCATATTATGAGAATTACAAAAGATTAACTACAACAGCTCACTTGATTCCACATCTGAACACAAGGTAGAACAATGCAAAAGAGGCAATTATCCTCTCCTGATTCAGGATACACATTAGGCCTTGTTTGGCTGCACTCTATTCCACCTCAATCCTGTATTCGGGTGGATTTAAGTGCAGCCAAACAAGCCCTTAGTTGTATCTAGAAACAAGGAGCAGCCATATGACTGTATATTTTAAGGATGAGCAAGTAAAGTGAAACTTAAACCTTCTATTTTGAGAGAGAGCAGTAGGTCATCAAGACCTGGAGCCTTTATAAGATCTTTATGAACAAGCAATGTCTCCTGCAGAAGACAGGCAAAATATGTTATATCTGAATCTGAAATAAGTTAAGGTGTCTGACTTATGAAAAAAAGGAGTAACAATATCATGAGTTGTACTGAAAATATCATATTTGTCACAAAGATTTCTACTATAAAAATAAATCTGTTATAAAAAAGAAAAGGTGGCTTACAAGGAATCGACATCTTAAAGTTATATATTAAATTAATTTTTGAAAGAGAAAAAGATTAATGGTGAATCAAGGATGATTGACATGTCCGCGTGTGATTATGAAGGATTTTCTTTATCTTTATAAAAGAAAAACACAAAATACTAGGATGACTGGAGAGGCATTGAGTGGCTCACGTCGAGCACGTTCTTAAGTTGTCTAATGTGCGTAAAGGTTTTACTTGGTTCTCTTAGAGTAAAGATGTGCCAACAAAAGTAATTAACAAACAAGCTGAAAAGAGACGTGTTAAATAATATAAATTGTAACAAAATAGACATACCATAGCATTGCAGGCTGCTGGGTAATCAATTTTAGCATCCATCACTATTCGTTTTGCCATATTCATGTCAGCTGATTTGTCGATGTATACATGACAAATACCATCTAAAGAGGAAAGAAAAAAATACAGAAATCAAACACTAGTCAACATATTTGAAATATTGTAGTGAATTGTTTATACCAAAAAGATAAATTTACCAGCATGACCAAGGACAGGGATCTTAGTTGATGCCTTGATTTGTGAAACCAGTTTATTGCTGCCTCTTGGAATGACAAGATCAATGACATCATCAAGCTGTAGGGTGTGTTATGAGTTTAGGCTTATTTGGCATACTGGTAAAATCATTATTTTCATAATATGTTACACTCACCTTTAGCAAATCAGCGATTTCATCTCTACTTGTAACAAGTCCAATAAGTTTTTCACCAACATTGCTAGGAATTGCACCAGTTATAACCTATAAGAAATTTATTTCAGGACACCGATCTAAAAACATGTCATGTCAGCATGAGAAAATACCTTATGCAATACTGTGTTTGATCTCATGGCTTCTTTTCCACCTTTCAGGAGAAGACCATTGCCACTTCGAATTGCTAACGACGCAATCTACACAACGATATCAAAGCTCAAAGATAGCTTATAAATATGCTTCAGTACTAAGCATGAACCAGTCACATGGTAAAAATTAAATGGTAAATTGTGACAAAAAAAACTACCTGGACCAAGGCATCAGGCCTGGACTCAAAAACGATCAATAGCACACCCAACGGGCAAGATGTTTTCTCAAGGACTAAATCTTCAGCAACCTGAAAAAGGTACTCTTGCAGATGTAAGATTTATCTTTAGTAAAATATGTTAGTTTTTCCTTTGTTACAGAGTTTATAAGCAACCACCTCTGTTCTTTTGAGTATCTGGTTGATTGGGTCTTCCATATATGCAAGAGTGCGGATGGATTTTGCAAGGCTTGCTATCTGTAACACGATGAAACATTAAAGTGAATAAAATGAAAAGAAAAACACCAAGAAGAAAAAATGCACAATAATTCAACAAATCAAAAAACAAGGAACACGAAATTAATATGCAATTGTGGTTATAATATATGCTGAAATATATACTAGGGCTACCTTTCCTGGCTTCAAAGTCAACCTAGAAACCAAAGATTTCTCATATCCAGCATCTTGTGCTGCAGCTACATCAGCTTCATTCTCGGTTCTAATCACATCCTCATTTTCTTCCAAAGCATCTGCAACGTCTAGCAATATTTTCTTGCGCTCATCCGATGACAAATTCTGTTTCATAAATGTCCAAAGTTGGTATAAAATATTCAGAAAAAAAAGTGGGCTAGCACTTTGTGTCTTCCAGCAAGCATTGTCTTGATAACATACCTGGAGACGCCTTGAACATTCTCTTGCAGAGACAGCCATCTCGCGAGCACTAACATCTTTGGATGGTTCCCACAGACTTGCGTCCTTATGAAAGAGAGTACCAATTTTCTCTCCTTGGAGAACTCTAACAATGCTCTGAGATGCAAATCCACTTCAAGGATAAAAAAGTTCAAATTTAGAATGACCAGCTATACCATAAATAACATGATACAACTACTTCTCTTATTTCAACGCATTTAATTAAGGCAGAGTGGAAACATAGCAATAAGATGGAAGAAGCACTTGAGTCCAATGCAGTCTACAACAAATATACAGTGAGTCACACCAACTATCAGCTATTTTACTTATTACTAGTTGCACGTCACATGGGAATTTTGATATATCACATGGGGAATATATAAATGAGTAACAAAGGGCAGTTAATCCAGTTATTATTCTCTTGCTAAAGAACGGCAAACGCAATATACATACCTTGTAATAACAACAGGTGTGCCACTGTTTGAAGCCACGAAAGCAGCCTTCACTTTGGCTGTCATTCCTCCTCTACCTACACGTGACTTATCGCCAAAAGTAATCTCATTGTGATATTTCTCTTTGATGTAGGTATGTATTATCTTTGATTGAGGTTCACTTGGTGGACCACTGTAGAGGCCATCGACGTCACTGAGTAGAACAAGGAGATCTGCTTTAAGTTCTATAGCCAAAAGGCCAGCTAAACTGTCATTATCCCAAAATATACCAGATGAATCCTGTAAAAACAAACAGTTGATGAGCATGACATCGAAAATGCTATTAAATATTAAGAATTTAATAGACTCATGCATTGGTTAAGGTCCAGGTGCATAAGTAGCACAGAATCACATTTATCAAGCAGTGCAGCAAATGTTGTTGAAATTTTCAAAGTCATTCATGGTACAACACAAACCTCATATGGAGCCTTTCTAGTGCTGATGGCATCATTTTCATTAAATATTGGTACAACTTTAAGATCTAATAGTGACTCAACAGTTTCACGGAGCCTCTCCCGGAAGTTTGGGTTCTCAAAATCACTATCTGTCACAAGAAGTTGGGAAGAGGATACATCAAGCTGCATAACAGGAAGCTCAACATTAGAAACATATGGACAAGGCACAGAACTGTCGACAAATTTCGATAGCAAGTTAACAAACACACTTGAGTAAATAGCATATCGTAAAGAGCCATGAGGCCACTCTGTCCAACGGCAGCGCAAGCCTTTCCATCCAGCTCCATCTGTGGCTTTTGCAGATCAGCAAAGCTGCTATTGACAAGCTTCCTGTACTTGAGCCTCTGCTTCCCCACACCAACAGCACCTGAGGTCACAATGATCACCTCGTATCCTAGGGCGTTCAGCTCCTTCACCTGCATTGCCAGGAATATTTGGCTAAGAATCTTTCCAGACTTCACTAGTTAATAGAACATTATGAAAGTTTGAATTAGAATTGCTACCTGCTCACAAAGAGCCCCTAGCCTACCCAAAGCAATTCGTCCATCATGCCTCGTGACAACTGCAGTGCCCACCTGTTGTGAAAAAGGTAAGAATCAGCTGTAATCAAAACCAGAAGATCCCGACGGATATACTCGGATAGGTAATTCCCAAAAGTTGCCAACTTTGTGCTGGGGTGGGACGGCACACTGGTGCTGACCTTGCCCAACCCCCACCCCCACCCCCGCAAAACCAACCTTTTTTTTGCTCATAAAAACAGAGGAGAAACAATCCGGCAATTCGATATAAAAAAAAACAGAGGAGAAACAATACGGCAATTCGAACGACTTGATTCACATACGAAAAAAACATCCAGACAGGATGGCTTCTCTACGCATTCGCATCTCCCATCTGATAAAATCTGATAAAAATCATATAGCAAACTAAGATTACGACATCCAAACTCCGAACATAGGAGTCAACGTATCAACTTTCACCATCAACCCGTCAACTCGACTATAAGGGATAGAAGCAGAATATAAAGCCCAAACCAAACCCTGCTGCCTCACCACTTACCTAGACGAAGAGAACCCAAAATCAAACACGGTTATTCAAGAATTATTCGCGCTATAAAAAAAACACGATTAGAAAACACAGAAGAATATGAACAACGCAATGCAAATAGCACCAAACAAATCGCGATTTAGATCTAACAGGTCGGCCACCGTCGCCAATCGTACGATTCAATCACCTTGATGATGACGCGTTTGACGTCCTTCATGAAAGTCCGGGTCCGGTCCGCGGTGGCCATGGCCGCCGCCGGCGCTTTTAGCTCGACGCCGCTCCTGGTCTTCCGTCTCCCCTCTCTGTCAACTTCGCCCTCTCTTATCCGTTTTGTCTTGCGGGGGCAGCTCCTCTCGCCGCCTCGTCGCCGCAATCGCGAGGAGGCCGGAGGAGAGAGGAGAGGAGGGTTTTGTAGTGGCTAGATGGGGGCGAGCGAGCAGATCGCAACAACCTACTGCGGCTTGTGTCTGGGGCGCCGTCATCCAGATGGGTTTATCTGGGCAGGGAATCAACGGATGAGAGAGGAGGGAGCGCAGCGGGAGCCCATCGGATACAAGGACTCGTTGGACCCACGTACTGGGATGTCAGGGACTAGAGGTGTTAAGCATGCTGTAGAGTATTATATTCGCAAACTTAATTAAGGGCCGGTTCGTGTGCGCGAGGAGCGTGCGACCCGTCTTTCACCTGGCGCTCGCCTCCTCCCCTGGCCCATCCGCACTCTGCGCCCGCACCTACCTTACGTAAAAACCCTAAATCCTAATCGCTCGTCATGGCTGGTCCCCCCCCTCCCCTTCTCCAACGGGGCTAGCCGGGGAGACAGAGCCGTCAGGCGGTAGGGAAGGTGGTCGGACGCTTAGGGGCCCTAGGGGTGGCGGAGGAGGCCGGGCCAAAGAGGGGCAGGGGCGCCATGGCTGCGGAGCTCGCCGTCACAGGAAGGGGAGGGGAAAAAGGCGACCGCCGCGGATACCGATCCCAAAATAGATGATTCCGTGTTTTGTTTAGTTCAGCGTGGGAATGGAATGAGCAAAAGCGTTAACAAATAACCCTCACACGGGAGCGGTATCATGTTTCCACGCGTCCATATTGGATGTCACCATAACTGATTGAGGGGCCGCTTGAAAAAACAAAAGTAATGCAAAATGGATAACGATGGAATCAGATTACATTACAGAAGTTTCAACTAGATGTGTGATAAATCTAAGACCCTTTGGAAATGTGGAGAAGTTGTTTCATTTTTTCCATGCAATTCTTGAATGATTTTTTTAGAAATTTCTACGTTCCAACTCCCTCCCAGCCCAGCGCTACTCGCTCCCTTGTATCTGTGGATTTCGACTCACGAGAAAAATCAAAGCACATTATCAGGACAACATCAACCAAACAAAATGCTTGTATCCCTTCCTATGACACTGGTTTTGGTTGCATCGTTGTGGCCGTTGCCAATCCTGAACCAAACAACATCATATGTGGAAAGAAACAAAGACGAAAAAGGCCATAGGATTAACATGGCTAGGAGAGGAAGACGACGAGTAGAACCCACCGCATCGGATAAGTAGGTTTTTAATAAATCTAATAAATAAATAGTAGTACATGAAGGAAAAGATAATTACTTGATGACTCGTGACATTCCGTGGACATGAAACCTGGAAAAAACGAAATTAATATGAGATAATAATCTTTTTATATGAGATAATAATCTTTCAAAACTCCATGAAATCCCGGATGTTCAGAGAAAAAACATATTTTAAAACATGTTGTAGATGTCGTATTTACATGCATTATATTATTTTACAATAGGTATTTTGGCTTCCTTACGAACAATGGCATTCCCTTGGAAAAAAACAGAGAAAAAATCATTTTATAAGTTCGCGTCAGGCTAACATAAATACATTTTGCCAATATACAGGTTTGTTTGTTCCACTTAACTAAAGTTTAGCTAACTAAAATTTTAAAGCAAAATTTTAGCCAGCTAAAAGTTTTCCTAGCTAAACTTTAGCTGGAGTGGTTGGATTCTACAGCTAATAGACTCAGCTAAAATTTAGCTGGCTTTAGCTGGATTAAGAGCATCTCCAAAAGACTTTCTAAATCTCACTCTCTAAATCATCATTTGGAGAGTCATTTGTATAAAAATTGCTTTCTATATTTTTTCACTATTCAATAGTTTTTCTATATCTCATACATACTCTAGAGAGGCATTCTCGTCTTCTATTTTTGGCTAGCGAAAAATTCAGAATAGAAAAATGGCTATATTTAGATGAATCATTTAGAAAATTTGGAGAGTCATTTACACCAAAATTGCTTTTCTATATATTTTTTCACTCTTGGTGATTCAAAACAACTAAATTTTAGCTGGTCTTTTAGCTGCATTATTTAGATCTCTAGCAATTAAATTTAGTCGGCTAAAATTTAGGTGTTGATCCAAACATGACCTATACCTTGTTTACGCCTCTCTTTTTTTCCCCAAGTTCGTAGGCACGCAAATGTACTGCTAATACAAACACAGGCCGTTGTGGACAGCAGAAGCGAACCCGTGTGCAGGTTTCTGGTGTCTTCAGCAAACGGGCGAGCCGCTCAAGGACTGGTTCACTTTGCAAAATTTTTTAACCTGATAAATAGTACCACTTTCGTTTTATTCCTAAATATTGTCCATTTGGATCAGGGCTCAAAAGATTCATCTCGAATTTCCAACTCTATGTAATTAGTTATTTTTTACCTACATTTAATACTTCATAAAAAAACTAAAAAAAACTTTTGGATGGCATCTAAACAAGGCCCAAAGTCCAAACGCTGTCGCTAAAGATGGCAACGAGGAATTCCCGTTAGTTGCCTTATCCCGGTCCCCCGATCTCTAGCGATTAAATTTTTCTCCCCCAGTCGGCTAAAGTTTCGGGTCCCCGTTTTGTTCATCACCATTCATGACCTCATCATTCCTTGTTTTCACGCACAATATTAGAGTACACCACTTCATTTTTAAAAATATAGCTAAATATGCAAGCGTGGATATTAATCATCACAAGGTGTAGAACTAGGGTTATTCTTTGTTATATATACTCGTAAGACATTGGGCCTAATACATCGGAAAGACAGGCCGTATGTGGACAGCAGAAGCGAACCCGTGTGCAGGTTTCCCGACGGTGTCTTCAGCAAACGGGCGAGCATATTGACTCTCCCGTCCCCTAAGTTCCAAAATCGGGCGTCGCTGTGCCATGCGTCGCTGTGCGTGTTACCTAGGCGATGGGAAAGTTACAGTGACAGCGAGGGATCGGCATCGGCCGCTGGAATCGATGGGACTGCTGGTATCGATGGGACTGATCGACGATCGAGCTCGAGAATGATGGATTCCGTCTCACTCGCCCTGGTTTTGGGCTTTTGGCAGCCGTGGCGAGCTCAGAGCGTGCTCGTGGAGCCGTGGGTCGTGGCGCACGACAGCATTGCTCTGCTGCCTCTGTGGAAAATGTGGCGCACGCGACAAACGTCTTTTGGCAACCTGATCTGATGGGGGTGCGTGGAATCTGCGCTCACAGTCACAGCCAGCAGGCGCCATCCCCTGACAGGTCACAGGAGTTCCTCGCATTGGAACACTTGGCGGTGGCAGCGGGATGCGCGGCCAGCTTCCCCGTCAGGGTCATTGGAACACTTGGCGGTGGCCGGAGAACTTCGGATTTGCGCAGGATTTCTGCACAGCATATGCATAACGCATTGGTTCAAGCTTTCGGTACACCGTTGACCCGTCCACCGTTAACAGGACAGGGTCTCCGGTTCAGTCCGTAGGTGCAGAGAACGATGCCAGAGACCAAATATGCCATTAATTTTTAGCCGGAGAAAAAGCTTCGCTGACTTTTTTCATGCTACTTCATTTCTGCACAAAAAGATATGATTTTTCTAGCATATATTAATCATATCAAATCATAGTTTTTTCGAATTCAATGAAGATAATTTTTATATGCATTGGTTCAAAGCCTTCGGTAAAAAATTAATGACCGTTGACCCGTCCACCGTTAACAGGATAGGATGTTGAAATCGCACAATTTTTTTCAGTGGCTCACAAAAAATTATAATATTTTATAATGGCTCACGAGCAATTCCGTCAAACATGATAGGGTTAGCGCACAGCACAGGAGCAGGACACAGGAATGCTTCCTCCCGTGACAAATATCCTGCGAAGCAAACGCCAACACGTCATGTGTCGGGTTGCAGCCAGCCCAGCAGTACCACGTCGGGCTCTGCACGAAGTTCCAAAAGCTCACCATTCTACTGAAGCCCAAAGGTCTCACAGCCCACTAGGCTGACCCGGCATCGCGCAATGGCCAGCCCTCAGCCGCATGCGAAAGAGGAAACGCGATCGGCCCACTAGACCGACCCGGGCCGAGCGGCGGCGGCGCTCCACTCCAGTACTCCACGCGCACGCCACCTTCCAACCCAAGCAAACAGGCGCAGAGGCACACGCTAAACGGCAGAAGCATTCTCTCGTCTCCAGTTCTCCGCGCAGTCCGCAATCCGCAATTCCCCAACCCCGCAAGGAAGCGACGCCCTCGCGCACCAGCGCGACCGGACCACACCGCCCGTCTGACGCGACCCAGCCGTCCAGAAGCGTCGCCGCCGCCCGTCCTTCGACCCCGCTCGCGCCGTCGCACGCTCCCCCTAGGGTTCCGCAGGGCCGGGATCGCCGGAGATGGACTGGAGCGCGGTAACGGCGGAGGACCTGGTGGACGCGCTGCGGGAGGTGGACTGGTCCACGCCGCCGCGGCCTGTCCCGGAGTTCTTCTCCCGCTTCACCGTCCCACGCTCCTACTCCAAGTGGACCAGCCGCCTCAAGTGCAACCTCTACTAGTATGATCCGCCTCCTCCCTCCCCTGACTCCTCACCGTATCGGTGCCTAATTGCCTAGTATACCTTTTCCCTTTCCGTGCCTCGTGATAATCCACGATTTGCTTTGCCCAGGACTCGCGTACTGTATTGAATTTGAAGGGTTTTGGTAGGATTTTCTGTTAGTGGCATATGTTTTGGCCCGCTTCCACTTGGATTTGTCGGCATCTTAGAGTGAATTCTGCTGGATCAGGCGTTCTTTTTTTTTCGGAAAAGAGTAGATTAGTGTGTATGCACGCTCGAGGTTGTACTCCTTTTGATAGCTCTAGACTGGCAGGACATGTTGCTTGTGGCTAATGCAGATAAATAAATCGGGTGCAGATACCCCTGAGTGAACTGGCGAATTCCTTAGAGTGCATTTGTCCAATCTCAGCCCTTGTTTCATTCTCATGGTTCACATACTGGCATAAGATGTCAAGGCTAAGAAAATGTATGCTGCTTATAGGTGTAAGCATTATATATTTTATGGTCCCAGCAAGCCAGGTCGTGATTAAAGGAGTTACACAGGAGGACACTGTCTGGCTGTGGGCTAGCCTTTTTGAAAATTTTGATTGATGAATTGGTAGTTTCATGATAAAGATCATCAGAGTGAGTATCCCTCTTGTATTGACCTCTGTGGGCTCAGCTTGTTTACTGGCTTAGGATATGCTAGATTAGGATATGTTGGAATAATTGGAATAAGGTTAATTCTTCCAGATCTTTACATATGTTAAGTGCCTTACTCTTGGGGGAAGAAATGTGCGTATGTGCATATAAATTATGTACATTAGTGTCAGTCTTAGAGCTTTAACTTTGTGTAGGTCACTTAAAGCATGATACACAAAACTTTTTTTCTTTTTGTTACTCTGGATCTAGATGCATCCAGCTTAGAGAGACGTATAGCGGTATAGTGCACTAGCCAACCTGTTAGAAGGGCACACAGTTTTCATTACTTGTGTCTAGAATTAATTTCTTAATTTTGATTTGCAGCTACAGGACAAACTATTTCATCTTGATCATGTTCATCCTTGGTAAGGAAAATGATATATAAGCTTTCTTTTCCTCGTATTTATAGGCTGATATTGACATGCTACAATGGGTATATGCAGGGATGGGCTTCCTTTGGAAGCCAGTTGCTATCCTTGCTGCTTTTATGACTGGACTTAGCATCGCATTTCTCAATGATAGGTAAACAAATACCAGCTAAAACCATTTCTGTGCTTGTGCCCTAATTCACTTTTCTTTGTAGTTTTTCAATTGTTCAGTTATTATAATCAAAGATATTGTGACGTCCATACTTCTTTTAATAAAAAGCATTCTGCTTTAAACTGAAGTAGCAGATAGCTAGTAGTTTTTCATCTTGGGATTAACAGTTTGAAGCTACAGTTTGGTGTTAACCCTGTCTAGCAAACTATATAAGAAACTATACTTTCGGAATTATATTCGGTTCATCATTAATTTGTATGTACAAGTTAATGGGACATTGACAATTTGCAGTTTTCTAGTTCAATGCTCTAGTTTTTTTTTTTTTCTTTGGTTATGCTTTAGGCCATAGGTGGGTGTGTACGAGAGGTGAGCCATGATACTATTTTCAAAATCCTCATAAACTATTAAAAATTGCATGGAAGTACAAATGTTGTTGAATGGATTCATAGAAACCAATACTGCACACATGATTTCATATTTGATCATGGCAGACTAAACCCCAAATTATACAATCTATCTGTGGATATATTGCATGGTGTCCTTAAACCTGATTGCTTGCATTCTTCTGTGCAACTTTGCATTCAGTGGCCAATATGTCTTTTATAAAAGTTTATTACTGACCTAAAGGGAGTATCATGTAAGTTTAATTCGTGTGCTGCAGTTTGTTCCATCAGAATATTATGCTCTTTGATACATGAAGTGCTTTAGATTTTATATAGTTTTTCAAAAGGACGGCAAAATTTTTGCTGTTGTTTTATTAGAAGAGATTGGCCCATTTTTTAAGGGGAAAACTGGTCCCGAAAAGCTTTCTAGATTTTATATAGTGATAGAATTTTTGTTTCGAGAACACAGGAACATCTCTACATAACACTGTAATTTCCTTCTGACAGTCCTCATTCCTTGATTCAGTCAATCAGTCCTAAGCTACCAAAAGGCCAGATACGATGGAAGTACTTTTCATAACTTGTCTTTCTTGGAACAATTGAAATATTGGGAGTAAAGACAAACTTGCATGCCCTACTCTTGAGTTCTCATTGGAAGATTTAACTGCCCATTACTGAGATTGTAAATATGAACGGATGAATAGTAATACCGCATATTCGCACTGTACCTGCAACAGTTATGATTTCCTTGGAGTTTATCTGTGATGCATGGTTCTCAAATTTTGTGCCAAGAAATCATCTGTTCTTTTTCTATTATATGATTATTATAAACTAATTATCATATTTGGTATTTCAGTTTTGCAGTCACTTTCAATGAGAAAGTCACAAGGACTGTAAGACAATTTTCACCACATTTAGCTGCAAAGATGAGGCCGCCGATAACGTGGGTATCTTAGTTTCTGATGTTTCTTTTTTCTACATTTTATTGTTGGTAACTACAAAGTGATGCTAATATCACTTTTATTCAGTCCTGTTCTTCGCGGTCGACCAAGCTCGAAGAGATCAATTCATATTTGTGGGCGACCTCGCTGGGTGTTTGTCCTGTTCTTTTCTGCAGGTGTGCAAACACTGGAACTGGACTTCCTAAAATTCTATATCTCACCATAGTCTTCAAAACTGACACCACCTGTTTTCTTGGTTTCAGTTAGCTGTATACTCTGGTTGACCTCATGCAGTCTTCTCACAGTCCTCTGGGCACTTCTCATTGCTCTATTTGGTATGACCAGTGTATGCTTTTGAAATTTTGTGCATCACGAACAATGCCCTTATGGTATTTTCTGTTGTCCACAGCAACTGTGCTCCATGCAAGCTTCAGAACACCAAATTTAAAAGCACGTCTGAATACATTCAGAGAGGAATTCCGGGCTGTTTGGCGGAATTATAGTGAGCTTTGAGGTCTCCTTTGTTTCTCTCATGTAAGTACCTCTTTGGCTTCTAGGTCCTCAGTTTATCAATACCTATATTTCCCGCATCATTTTTTCTCATGGCATGCCATTTAGTACTCCCTCCGTTCCGTTCCAAATGATAAAGACATTTTGGCTTTTCTAGATACGATGTACACTATCTCTAGATACATAGTAAAAGCAATGTATCTAGAAAAGTTAAAACGTCTTATAATTTTCTTATAATTTGGAACAGAGGAATTAGGTTAATGTTGGCCTGTGTATTCCCAGGTTGTAGATCCTCCACTTCCATAACTTGTTGATTAAATGTATCTTCCTTCACAGGTTCATGTGGTAAGGAAAGGTGTCTCGTGCTGAAACGTCCATGGTGTTTGTGAGTTGTGCTAGGAGATCTAGTTGAAGGTGAAATGCCAAATGCCATTGGACATTACTACATGGATTACTTGCTCTTTTGGGAGGTGGGATTTTGGTTGGGTTGACTCCGAATGCGATGCTATGCCTTACGCACAAGATCCCTGAAGACCAATAATTTTTCTCAGACTTCTCCCTAACCGAGCATTGGAGAGGACAGCATGTAAAGGATGTAAAAATATACCTGTTCTCGATCAAGACGTATGTTGTTTGTTGAAATTATTACTAATCCGTATTGCATTTTTTGGATTATTTGTTTGGTGACTAATTTTGCTTGAGCATTTGTGTCGAGTAAGTTGAGTTACAGCGAGTAGATACTTTCTATCCCTCCATTCGATCACTTTTGAGAAAATTGATATATTTTAAAGACCCTGGGAAGGCTAGGGCCAACCAAGTAAATGTGATTCCTGCTCAGGAGGATGAAATTCTCCCCTTGGAAGAGCATAAGATAATAGGATAGCAAACCGAGGAGTCTGAAGATGAAAATGCTAACATCATATCTCCTATAACTAAAAAGAACAAAGTGTAGATTTTTTTTTGTGCGATATTTGTTTTGGTTCGTCCATCTGCCCACACCTGCGATCCCACGACATCTTCCGCATGCTGTGTCCTTTTGGTGCAAAGAAAACACGGAAAGTCTTCCCTGATTTACATGCGCTACAAATACGGAAAGTCTTACCCTAATTTGCATGCGCTACAAACACGGAAAGTCCCCCTGATTTGCATGCGCTACCAACACGGAAAGTCTTGACCTTGATTTGTATGCGTTACAAACACGGAAAGTCTTGACCCTAATTTGCATGCGCTACAAACACGGAAAGTCTTGACCCTAATTGCCTCAAACAAGGAAAGCGATCACCCACGTCTCACGCTCGATCATACCGCCCTCGTGCCACAAATATGAAATTCTTGACCCTGATTTGCATGCGCTACAAACACGGAAGACCATCGTCGCTCGTCGCTGCACGATCAAACTCGTCTTCTTGGTAGGACTCAAGCGCATCACTGGTCGCTGCACGAGAGACGATCGTCGTGCCCCCCATTTCTCAAGCCCCTGCACGATCAAGCCGCCCCTACTTCTTCCTCGTCGTGTAGTGGAGAAGCAACAACAATGGATCATCCACCGTCTGCCTACCAGTGGATGCACTTGTGGCTACATCATCGATCGCCGCAAGGTCGCCGCAAGATCACCTCCCCGTGCGATCTCCCTTCCCCGTGTGATCTCCCCTCCACGACCTGCTCCATCGTCTGGTCTGTGCGCCCGCGCCGTCATCCTCCCCGTGCGCCACGTACACTGCCGCCTCCACGACGTCATGTGATAGAGGAATCATGGCAAAATAGGAAGTAGAAAATTATTGTGCTATCCATATACACATTGCATGTTTGCATGCACCGGCATATATGACAACGAGCAAAAGGAAAAGAGAATTAACACAGAAGGAAAGAGAATTAAGACAAAAGAAATCTCTTTGCATTTCTGAGACCCTTGTCAAATCTACCTACATTTAATTACTTCCTCTCTTTGTATTTGCAAAAGGGACAACTTTTTTCTCCTTTCATTTGGTTTCACGCTCACGTGTTCCATCGTCCTCGTTTGCTGTTTCTTGCGTGAACCATAATTGATGTCATCTGTCTTCCATGGCTCGTTCTCCCAATCCCAAGAGAAGGTCCCTACCTCTCTCTGACTGGAGATCTGGCTTGCCAGAGGATCTCCTCGAGTCCATCGGACAGCGTCTCGCATCAAGCCATGACGCAGCGTCCTTCTGATCCGCTTGCTCCCCATGGCACGCCGCCGTCCCGTTCGCGACCTTTGGGCCGCTCCTGCTGCTCCCGTTCGACCCCGACTCGGACCGCGTCGACTTCTACTGCGTCCCGAGAAGAAGGTCTTGTCCAAGACCCTGCCCGACGTGCGTGGCAAGGTGGCGTGCGGCTCCTCGTGTGGGTAGCTGGCGCTCATGGACGAGGCGGCATCCGTGACGCTGCTGAATCCATTCGTCGGTGCCCGTGCCTCCCGCGTTGAGCTCCCACCAGCAGGCGAACACGTCGCGGCGGCGTCCTCATTGGAACGCGTGTCTAGGGTCCATGGCCGGTGGGTCCTCCATCCCACCAACGGCTACGGGGACGCGAATGCCGCAGGCAGAGCCATCAAGCTAGAAGACATGAGGGACGTGTTCTTCCGTGAGATTGTGCTCTCGGCGCCGCCTGACGCCGCCGGCCGCGAGTGTGTGGCCATGGCCATGTTTGGGTGCTCCACGGAGGTCGCGTTCTGCCGGGTTGGAGTCGACAGCGCATGGACGCTACTCGACACCAAACTGGAGTTCTCCGTGGGGTCCATCGTCCACTGCCAAGATAAGTTCTTGGCGATCGACTGCATTGGAGAAATCTCCGTCTGTAGCAGCAACGCCACCGACGCTACTCCAACCGCGACGCTGCTGCCATCGCTGTCGCCACCTGCGGGGCTCTGCCACCGCAACTATCTAAAATCAAACGGTGAGCTGCACATTGTGGGTGCCATGGTGAGCACGTTCCACGAGACATAGAGCTTCACCTACAGCAGAGCGATCTACAAGTGCAACCTCCACGACCGTATGCCGGAGTGGTCTAGGGTGAGGGACATCGGTGATCAGACACTGTTCATGTCTAAACATTTCAATGAAAGCTTCAAAAACAAGTGTATCCAAGTACAAGGATAACAAAATCTACATGTCTGAGTCATTGTATGGGGATCCATACGACTTGGTCCATCGACTGGAGATCGTTGATATTGCTATCGGCGCATCAGAAGTGAAGCCCGTCCAGAAAAAGATGCAGGGTTCCGAGGCTCTATGTTGGATTTGACTCAATCTCTGGAAGCTCTAGAGTTTGTGAGCCTGCGACGCCGCACACTCCGTGACTGTGTTAAATTCATAAACTTTGTTTTTTGATTAAATGTCACTTTAACGTTGGTATTTAATTTAACAATATTGTTATCCTATCGTGCGATTCGTGTGTTTTTAGTATAAATTATTAGTTATCCCGTAGTAACATACGGGCACGCTAACTACCTAGTCTAATAAGAAAAGGAGAAGACTTAAAAAGCCTATACAGACTGGTATTTCTCGCGTTCAAGTGGAGGTTGATTCTTCCATTCTAAAACAAGCTTTACAGAGAGTGCTCGCTGCAACTACAGCTGCAGTTTTTTTTGGCTATTGCTACAATAAATTGTGAGAGGATATTTTTGCAGCTGCAGATAAACGCAGCACAGCCATCTATGGACTTAGCGGCTTGCGGGATGATGATCAGGGACACTCGCTTCATGTCACGGGAACATTTTGTATGCAGTGGCATTATTTCTGTCCCTATAACTTGAAACTCGCAATGTGTTGGGACCCTAGTGAGCTCTATGTGTGGGCAAACCTCATCCTAGAATTTGTAGAAACTCTTGTTGCTCGCGATTTGGTCGAGCCCGTTTGTTTAATGAAAAGGCCAGAGAGCCGAGCCTTATATCTATATACACCTAAAAAAACTCTAAAATAATTATCTATCTGGTGATACCAAAAAATGTGTATACTATCTGGTCGGTCACAAAGACTACGTACACTACCCGGTCACAAAAATTACCAAATACGTATACGTATACTTGAGTCCACAAACGTGTACAGTCCGTGGCACAGCCAATTTTGAGTTCGCGTTGGGGACGGTCGGCTGCCACCTCGTCGGGACGGTCGGCAGCCTCACATCTCTATCTCTTCTACACCTAAAAAGACTATAAACTAATCATCTACCCGGTGATACCAAAAACACATACCATCTGGTCACAAAGACTACCAAGTATGGTACTATCCAGTGTATCAGGCCAGAGGCCATCGGCAGCCAGTTAGGCAACTACTGGTCTATCTATGGTCCAGTAGAAAATTGCTTAGCCATCATCCTTTCCTGTTCTGAAAAGTGTTTTGCCAACATGGATGGATCTTTTAACCTACACACCACATGATAGACAAAATACTTCTAAGAGTTAGGAATTCCTTGGTATGCTTTATTTAGAGACTAACAACATGCAATCAAATTGTTCAAGAATTGAACAATTTTGTCTCTAAATGTCTGAAGTCTCAATTAGTAGTTGTAGAGATTTAACAATCTGATCCTTGAATGTTCAGGCCAAGGGGAAAAATTCTAAATCTTTAATTCTCAATTATTTGTAGACATTTGTTGCTGCTTCTCAGTGTCTACAGTTGTGCATTAGTATATTTTTAACAAAAGGGGTAATATTGAAAAGACTATAATAACATCATCGTCTACCCATTAATATACCAAGTCCCGCCTAGCCGTATTCAGAATCAATCTGGTAAGATCTTGTCCCCATCCTCGTATTCAGGCCAACGGAATTTTGGCACCTTCTCTATCTGAGTTTAATGGGTCTCGATTAAAGCAAGGTGCAAGGTGTTTCATAACAATAGGGATTGAAATTCTTGGATTTCTCTGATTTTATATATGATCGTTTACCCGGTGCAACGCATGGGAATTATCCTAGTAAAAAAAAGGCCTATAGAGCTAAAAGGGGTCAACCTGCTTTGACAAACGTAACTCTGAAGGAGATAAACCTATGGTTTGCCCTAAGATTCAATCTTAGAGATAGAGGCATGATTTAAACAAAAACAAAAACCATCCTAATGATAGGTATCATATGGAACTGGAGAGGACTGTCCAATAAGGGCTTTTGATCACTTCCCTCATATCTAATTTGGGATTGCCACGCCGACTTTATAGCCTTAAAGGTTTGCCAGAGACCATAAAAAGGAGATACACTGATAATTTTTTTAGAAAACTTGATCCATATAAAACTTCTTATGGCACTGGAGTCCTTCTAATGGTAAATCCAGAGGTATGCTGAGTGGTGTCAGATTGAAATGTCTGATCTGGAGAATTGTAAAGCTAGGGAGTTTGTTATTATTGCAAATGTTTATAGAAAAAAGTTGAGATTTAGTAATGAGAAGAACAAAAAGTTAAACATTAATAAATTCTCGATATGTTCAATCAGATCATAAATACCCATGAGCTCAAAGAAATGAAATTAGTGGGCAGGAAGTTTACTTGGTGTAATAACATACATGACCCTACTTTGGAAAAACTAGACAGTTCTAATATCTGGATCCTAGGAACAGGACCTTCCCCTCTGTAACCTTAAGAAAATTCCAAGATACATGTCTGACCATAAGCCTCTTATCTTCAATTCTGAGCTAAATGGCAAACAAATCTTGAAACCGTTTTGCTTTGAAAATTCGTGACTAGAGCATGCTAATTTTATCCCCAAAATCACTAAAAATCTAGGGCAAGAACATTATTGCAAGTAATGCTGCAAAAAGATGGTGCATTGAAATGAAATAGAATTAAGAGTTCCTCAAAGTGTGGAGGTTAAGTATCAAAGGGCATAGCAGAAAATGTAAGAACAATCTCAAAGATGAGCTCAATAATTGGAAATTTTGGAAGAGGAGAGGAGCCTCCCTGCCGTACTCCTTGTCAGGAAGTATTTTATTATTCAAACTGAATTCTTAAAGTTTATGGAAGAAGAGGAGAGTTACTGGCATAGAAGATCCAATTCCACTTGTGGTAGCTTCAGAGGGACAACGACACAAAATATTCCTAGAGTAGCTAATGGAAAAAAATAGGGGAAATATAATTTTCTGTCTTCACAATGAAGATAATATCATGGAGGGTGATGAACAAATTGTTGAACATGCCACAAACTACTATAAAATCTCTTTGGCTCGGATGACAAACCTAATTTCTCGATGAATTCAAATTTTAATAAATATAATTTGAAATTGCATATGTTGGCATGTTTTTAATACTTGATCAAAGTTGGATAAGTTTGATTTATTAATAATGATCCATAAACCTTTGCTTTGGTGCAGCTAATATAGTACACAGAAAGGGGTGCTAGGAAGCACACTGCTGGCCTAACTCGATCTATATAAACAAGATAAAACACAATGAAACAGCTTTATTCCGTCGACTGGCAAAATATTAGAGAGCACTAACTTCAATAATCCGTCATTTTGAACGGAACCTTGTTCTCTCAAGAAGATTTCGCCATCTGGGGACATTTGAACTAGCCTTATATTCTATGCAATCATACAGAATGGGTAGCTACAAAATGGTAGGTAGCTGATTGTAACACTGGGAACAAAATCTCAAATGAAGGTAATCTACAGCAATGAACACTTCTACTCGCAGTTGCTCCATTCCTGTGAAACTCAAGCAAAGATTCTCGCAGGTCGAGCACTGGCCCAATCAAATTGAGCAGTCTGATTATGTGGCAAAGCTTCTGTCGCCAGCATCCCCCAGTCCTGGAACTATAAAACTGTGGGCACAAAACAACAATTGAAGTCATTAATCAGCAGAAGCAAGGACCAAATGGGGTATTTATGCAGCAATAATAATTAATAATACGTCCTCCATGAGTTTTGCAATGAGCTGATAAGTTTAGAACAATACCCTTTCTCATTTACTTCCGGATCAATTATTCCTGTGTACACATGGAGCCTGGAATGGAAGAAAATTGTAAATGCTGCATGCAGCATGGTGAACTTGTTATAACACATAAGATTGTCTATTTCTTACCCAGGGAACTTGTTATTAAGCTTTTGCAGTGCAGGAGGTGATGCAACAGCAGATACCTGAATTGGGGGAGGAGTTAGAGATTGATAAAATGGTTAAGTAACAGAAGCATATCGAGGTTTTGACGAACTTACAACTTTAATCTGCTTGTTGGTAACTCCACGCTCGATTAACAAGTCAATAGCAGCAACCATTGTCCCACCTAAAGAAACAAATACAATCATGATTCTTAGAGATTTATACAGCAATAGTCTAGAATTTTTATTTCTACTCCTTTCATATCTGGAAAAGAAAAGTAATTTATCATATATCACAACTTGTTTAGCACCACGTTGTTCAACCACTAACAACAGTTTTTTGTGCACAATGCTGGTTAGGTACAGGAACTTGTTTTTAATTTTCTTTTTGAGAAATTGGTATGTTCAAATTTAAGAACCTTAGGCAGAACACAAATTGTTTATGCAGAGCTAAATGTTTACCAGTGGCCAGCATTGGGTCAACAACTAGTACACGAGTCCCCTCTGGAATCTTGTCTGGCAGGCTGGATCGAAAGAAGAAAAAGAAAGAAATGTTAGGGGTGCTTTAATTAGTGTAGGCATCTAACTATTTAAGAAATTTTGCAGTGCTGAACAGATCAGCACAATAAAGTGATATTAGTTAACACAAAGAATGGTAGATGTTATAATGAATAATACTACGTATTATGATTTAATCAAGATAGCAATGGGACCCTTGTGTGCTAATATCTGCATTCCATACTATTTTACACAAAGAGGGATTTACTTGGATAGAAAAAAGAACTTGCATTTGCAATATTTTATTCTTCAATAGTTCTGTAGGGTCTCATGATCCAAGAGTGACAATCAAAGCAATTGCATAAACTAAAGCATGGACAACCCCAATTATTCAATCTGGTAAAAAAAACTTTACGCTTTTGACTTTTCATGGTTTCAAGGTGCAACTTTGACCACTATTTTCTATTAGAATATACTTATAGGGCGTACCCAGTGCAGAGAGCTCCCGCTCTGTGCGGGGTCTGGGGAAGGGTGTCAGTGGCAAGCCTTACCCTCGCCTGTGCAATGCGAGGAGACCGCGACTCGAACCCGGGACCTTCCGGTCACAGGCGGTAAGACTCTACCGCTTGCAACAGGCCCGCCCTTCTAGAATATACTTATAGATTCTAACAATTTTTGTGAGATTATGGAAGTACTTGTAAGAATGCCCAACATGATTTTTATGTTTTCAAACCAAATATTTTAGAAGTTATTGACATTCCAAGTTTCAAATGATTGGATCTTGGACAAAGCGTCAAGCATTTGTGACCAGAGGGAGCACAAAACAGTGTGTGAGAAAATAAAGTAGAGCTTGCAGAAAGGAAACATACTTGTTCAGGTATATTGAAGGTTGAAGTGTTTCTTCATCCCTACGGAGGCCTTCAGTTTTCAATGAAATGGAATGGATAAGAATAATTGTTCATAGCTTTCGTGATGAATACTGGTTTGTGTAAGTAATTAAAATAGAGCCACTAAAATATTGTATTTACAGAGTATGTAAATAGTTCAGGCAAGCTTCTTTGTTTATTTACAAATGCATTATTAGCAAGAAGAATAATAGTGTGATGTGGTGGTTAAGTACAGAATATATGGATATTAGCCTGCACATTTCCAACTTTATTCATCTGACCCGCAAAGATGCATGCATCAAATCAAGAATATCAAGCATTGATTTGGTACACAGAGAACAAAATAAATCAGCTTGGAGTGCTGGAATTTTGGTCATGAAGCTTATGTTAGCAATATATGAGCATAAAAGTCTATTTTGATTTCAAAAATGAAGAACAGAATTTGGCTCTAGTTTGCTAAGACAGAGATGCATGGAACATTGTTTAATCAACTTACCAAGGTGATAAGTCTTGGTGGCTGGCAGAACTGATGAAGCAAGTTCAGCTAGTGCAAGACCAGCTCTCAGTATTGGAATAACCTGTTAGACATGCTAGTAGAACGACTAAATATAATCCTAGACACACTACAAAAGCCATGTACAATATCTGGTGTCAAGAAACAGACTTACCAGAACAGGTTCTCTTGGATCAATAAATTCAACGCTAGCTACAGCTATAGGTGTTTCAATCTCTCCTGTGATTGTAGGCTGCAAGGGTTCAGAACGATTTATCATGATTCCTGAAGTTCTATTGACAAACGAAGTGTTGATTGACGTGTCTAAAAATGACTGATCCACACATCTTTTTATGCACAACACATTGTTCATGATATAGAAAGATAAGGGAACATGTCCATGACTTGGTGTTGTGAGGCTGCATTCTCAGAAACAATACGCAGGTACGTGTTTAAAAAAAAATACATGAGAAAACTGTGGCAAAAGAAGTGGCCATGAAGACATCTAAAAATTGTGATAAGTTTTGATTCAGATGTTAGTGGCATTCAACATTCTTCCCAAAAAATATAATTGTCCATACCATGTCAAAACTTCGTTTTACTCTGACTTCACTAGCAGGTTAATTTCAACCTTAAAGCATTAGAAGAGAAAGAAGAATAACAGAAAATGATTAACCAGGCAAAAGATTTCAACTCACCAACCAATCTCTGGATGCTTCGTATATGAGCAGCCGACCAAGCTCTGCCATGGCACTCTCTATGACAGCAATTAACAAAGGCTCAGTGAAATCCTATCATACTGCTTACCACAGCAACACTACCAACCATGGTCAAACAAAATTGCTTCCCCAAGTGGTGTTCAATTGCTACTATATCCAACTTCTATTAAGCCATTCAGAATCCTCGCAAAAAAACAAAATACTAAGCCATTCAGAAACACTCACTGAAGATGACGCAGGGTGTCTGTTCGTTGCGCAGCACGGAGACCCAATGCTTTATCAGCGGGTGCGGCGGGACGAACACCTGCGAAAAAAACACGTCACACCCTGTCACCCCCACACCACACGAGGAAACCATCTAAAGCGCATACGCACGTGTCAAATGCCATATGGATAAACAAAAGAAAGCCAACGAGCAGAGGGAGGCAGAACCAGATCCGCACCAGCATCTGGCCGCCAGATGTGGGCGATCTCGCGCCCGTGGCGGCGTCGTGGCTTGCAGCCCTCGTCGCCGTCGGAGGCAGCCTCAGCGCGTGAACGGGCAGCGGGGCCGGGACGGCGAGGCGCCCGGAATTGAGGAGCGCGCGGGGTGGGAGGAAGAGGAGGGAGGTTTGAGGGAGGCGCTGACGCGCGCATGCGATGCGGTGGAGAGGCGCCGCCGCGGCCGCGGCGGGCGAAGGCATCGCGAGGGCGGGGCGGGTGTGCGGGACTACGGATGGCGAGCGAAAGCGAGAGCAGTGAGGAGGGGCCGAGGGGGATACGGTGGGGTCGCCAACAACGTATATACGGTTTTCGTTAGGCCATGCCGACGCATCTAGGCTCGGTGGGTGAGTCCCGGCTCCCAAGGCTGTTTAGTTCGTCACCAAAGTTTACATACTATCTCATTAAATATATTAAATATTTAGACACATACATAAATTATTAAATATAAATTAAAAAATAATTAATTACATAGATTATGATTACTTTGCATGATGAATTTTTTAAGTCTAATTAGTTCATGATTTGATAATAAAGTGCTTCAATAACACATGTGCTAACGACAGGTTAATTAGACTTAATAAATTCGTCTCGTGGTTTACTGACGGACTGTGTAATTTATTTTTTTATTATTATCCAAATATCACATACAACATCCCATATAATATCCGATATGATCCAAAAACTTTACAACCAGGCGCAACATCCTCACTTAGCGTAAGTAGCATTCACGTCATATTAGAAACAACAAGTTAGGCCTGGTTTAGTTCAAAAATTTTTTTATCCCAAACTATCACATCGAATCTTTGTGGCACATGCATAGAGTATTAAATATAGATGAAAAAAAATTAATTGTACAGTTTGATTGAAAATCACGAGACGAATATTTTAAACTAATTAATCAATGATTAGCCATAAGTGCTACAGTACTAACATGCGCTAACGATGGATTAATTAGACTTAATAAATTCGTCCCACAGTTTCCAGACAAGCTATATAATTAGTTTTTTTATTAATATCCAAAAACTTCTTCCGACATTCTCGAAACATCCGATATGACATTCAAAAAATTTCATTTCACGAACCAAACACAACCTTACCCCCTATTTATCAGCATAGCAGCATCCACGTCACATCAGAAATGCCCCGCCTGATAAAACACAGAGCTTTCTCTCAGCGTAACAGCGTCCACATCACATCAGAAACAAGTTGCCTTGTCTAATAAAATCAGTGTGGAGAGGCGAAGAAACTCCAAAACCAGTTGACAACATGTAGTTAGAGATTTAGCTACAAATTTAACCCAAACTCTCGTATTTAAATGTACTATGATTAATTTTAGCTAGTGTTGGGTATCGATATTAGAGATACCCAAAGCAAAAAAATTAGCGCATATGCTGACTTCTCTGAATGGCTCAAGACGTATTAAAAGGTCTCGTCCGACCCAAGGCCGCGGGCTCCGTCTTGCCCGACCTCGAGGCCGAGGGCTCCGTCTCGCCCGACCCCAAGGACGTGGTTTCCATCTCGCCTAAGGCCGCGGGCTTCGTCTCGCCCGAACCTCGAAGACGCGGGTTCCGTCTCGTCCGACGGGGACCCATACCGCCGCCAACCACTCCAGGTCCAAGCATATGGGCCTGGGTCAAAACTCTGACGCCAGGAAAGAGGTTGTCACACCTCTGATGTAACCCATGGCCATGACGGGCCATACCTGAGGATTCACATCAAGAACAGTGTCGGGCATATCGGTGTTGTTCTGCCTAATCCTCGTTCGGACGCTGACAGGCCGTCAATTCACCACGACGTCCGCCTGGACAGAGTGGAATGACATGGCCGGCAGATGACGCCTGCGCATGGCGCTAGTGACGAATAGGGCCGCGACATGGAGCCGTCCCTGTTGACATCTACATGATCGACATGACCCGCATGAAAGAGAAGAAGGCCCCGACAACCCTGGAAGCCTTTCTCCCTCTCGTTCTTCTCCTTTTCTTCTCTATAACCCGCGCTTTTCCTTCGCCTATAAAAGAGAAAGCAGGGCGCCCTCATGAAAGGGGAGATCTGGACACAAGAGCACAACACGAGCACACGACTGAGCGGCAAGCGAGCTCTCAGCACCCATTCATTCCTTCCACTAGAGACTTGGATCCTCTTCCTCTCTCGCCTGTTTGTAACCCCTACTGCAAACCAAGTGCTAGTAACACGAGCAGCAGCAAACTAGACGTATGGACGTTCTGTCCGAACCAGTATAAACCCTTGTGTCCTCCGAGCACACCATCCGACCCAGACGCGTAAATACAAATTTACTCATCGGTGGTCCGAAAACACCGACAGTTGGCGCGCCAGGTAAGGGCTTTTTGCGCATCTCGACGTCCACATCATGCCTTGGATGGCTAGTCACGGCGTCAGCTGAGTCTCGAGTGCGCACATGCGCTTTCGAGAACCTAGACTTCATCGATACGATGGAGGGAGAGATGGCGTAGGTTCCCGCCACCGTCCAACCTCTCCACTCCGCCGGTCTCGATGCAATCGCCGAGGCACTTGAGGAGCTACAACCGCACGCACCGGAGGCCATGCCCCCGGGAGCGACTAGCTCCTCGGTTTTGATTACGGAGGCTAGAGCGCCAGCTCGGCGCCTTCCTAGGACCCCGACCGTCCCGGGAGGACCTGCGCCGCCTCACCTTCTTGTTCACCAACGTCATAACGTAGCTTACCGGAGGAGAGCCGCTCTCTCTAGAATACCTCATCCGGAGCGTCGTGACAGCGTTTCCGTTTGGTCTGCGCAACGCCGCAGAGACCGTTGGCCACCTTGTGGCGCAGCGCATGCCCCCATCCCTCTACGAACAACGAGTTCGTGGGGATGCCCAAATACGTCGTAGAATCTTTCCACGACCTTCTCACGGGAGAATCGGAGTCGCCCTCCGACTCTGACTCCAGCAGGGGGAGCCATCCCCCCTCGCGAGAATGTTTCATGGCAGGTACCCCCGAGGGATACATCGAAAGCATCCACGAGGGAGGGGCTACCCCAATAGATGATCTCGACGATGAGGTCGAGGGGGATTGTCACACCCAATTTTAAGGATAAAATTGAATGCACTAACTCATGTGTGCCCAGGGATCAATCACACACACAAGCTGATAAATTATAAAAGAGTATTATCACAGTGTATCTTACATCACGATAATAACATAACTTAGTCTTATACATCATAGCGGAAAATGAAAGATAACTCTTTCTCGTGGAACACCATCACAGGGAAGGTCAACTGGTTGACCACAAGCCTAATAATCCTCAGAAAACTCCTCATACACGTTGTCATCTGTTACCCATCCGGGATTTTTATCCAAATAAAGAAAATAAACAAGCGTAAGTACTTCCCGTACTTAACAAGATAACATGGGGATTCATGAGGCTCAAAAAGGTTGACATTGGTTTACTGTAGTTAGCACTTTTAGCAAGTCAAGATTTTATTATCAAGTATTATCAAGTCATGCTTAAGCTCCCATTTAAACCCACTTAATCAGATATCAGCATCATTTGGATCATATCATCATAAACCATCATAAATGAACAACAATGAGTAACCAATTATTCTGTGAGTTTTCCGGGCCGCTCGTGACCGTGAACACGGCTGTTATAATAGTTTGTAACCCTCTGCAGAGGTGGTGCACATTCACCACGAGTCATGATCCCCATATGTCCGGGTTAATTACTCCCGTATCACTGCCAAGGTGAGCGGGCAGGGTACACTATGAAGCCATTTCATAGGTTTCTCTAACAAGTTAGGGCCACTAAGTTTCCTCGGCAGGCAGATGTAGGAACCCCCCTTTCCTATGACACATAACCATCGCGGCTATACACATAGGAACAGAGGCAGTCCTATACCCAACGTGGCAAGCCCCTTTTGTGCCATAAAGGTAACCTCTAACAAGCTAGAAAAGGTCTTATTACTGAGCTAAAGTCAGCCATATAACTCTCACGGTTGCACTGTCAGTCCCAGCTTTTGCCGACAGATAAGTCCTTATGGAGGGCCGGAAGCAACATGATCAAAAGTCATTTGCACCTTCGCCCTATGGATCAGTTGTTACAAATCACGTTATACTTTTAGTTCCATAGAACCATTAACCATTGTATAGATCATGTTCCGTTAGAGCACTAGCAATCTATCCATATGCAATTAACCCATAGGAGTCAAGGGAACAAGTCATCAAATGACTAGAATGTTCTTATGGTTATCAAAGTTAGACACATGCACATGAGTAAATGATTAAAGTGAATTGGACATCAAGGTAGGCCCATGCTATACTTGACTTGGTTCACAAACTCTTGCTGGTCCTGCTGGTCATCGAAGAACTCTTGATCTCCAACGTTCTCCTCACCGTCTGAACGCGACCAACACGACAACATACAATATTCCAAAGGCATTCATGCAAAGCAAACATTCCTATAATTAGAATAGTACACCAACAGTATAGAAAACAAGATAAAATATTTATGAAAATAATCTACGTCTCGCTACGATCACGTCAACACGAAGTTCACAAAAATCAGAGCTAAAACGCGAAAGTTATGAATTAAACGGGGTTTTCTATAGCACTTTATGTAATTAAAACTAATCATGAAATTTAAAAGTTGCAAACTTGATTAACAGTGGTACTAACATGTAGATTATGAAATTACGAAGCTAATGCATTTTGAACGGATAAATTCGGAGCTAAAACGACGATTTTATAAGCAAAACAGTACAAATGGCATTTCTATAAATACTGAAAACGTACTTTGGATTAAAACAATTTAGTTTACGTTTTCAAAAGAAGAAAGCGTACTCAAGGAAATGCGCTATGGGCTGCAGGTACAATTAAGCGATAACAGGGGGGTTCTTTGGCAAAACCACACGCGAAGGGGTATCGGCCAACGGTGGCCGTTGGATCAAGATCGGACGGCTAGAATTAGATCAGAGGAGAGAGAGGAAGGGGTGGCCGGCCGGAACAGTGACAGGCGCGGTGGCGGCCATGGCCGGCGGCCGGAGGTTGACGGCGCTAGAAGCCACAAAACTCAAATTAAATGGCATGGGGAGGTAGAGGGGAGCATGGGGGTCTCATCGCGGGGAAGAAAGGGGTCGGAGATGGCTCGGGGAAGGCGGGCCACGCGGCGGTTCTGAGCTCGGTGGACGGTGGGTCATGGCGTCCCAGTGCTGGCCAGATCTCCTCG